GTGGCCTGGTGTTGGGCAGATGCACATGCCCAGGCCACACCCTGCAAAGTGCACTCCTGTGCTGTCCTGTGCTGTGTCTGTGTGCCCTGCCGTCCTGTGCGCGCTGCTCTACTTACTTACTCTACACAGTACTTGCGCTGGTGCCGTGCAACACCCACTACCACTCGACTGCTGTGAGCGCAACCATGACGGCCACTTGACAGACTCGTCTATCGGGGCAGTGCACCAACACTCACCCGCTTGCACTAGACCACAGTAGCCCTTTTGCCAACCCCCATGCTGCAATTGCTTTTGCTTTTGCCGCCCTCGGACTTGCACTGGCTCCTCCCTTTGCCGTCTCTGCAGCTGTGATGACATCCACACACGTCTTCATCTTTTTGCGCCCACTCGTGCTTTCTTTTTTTTCATCTGTCCCGTCTCCCACCCACGCATTGATTGGCCCACTCCTGAAGCGTAGCAAGGGGTCTTGGGTGGTGGAGTTACTAACAAACAAACATTGAACTGCCGTCTGAGCCTCGCCATCTACTCAAAAACAAAGTTATCGCGCCACTCTTACAACACTCGCCCTCGTGTTTCAAAACAACGTCTCTTATCCTTATCCCCTCTCACGAGTCAACTAGTCGATTACCATTGACCATGATACGATACGAGCCTCAAATAACATGGTGTAGGCGGTCTGTACCTGACAAAGTCCTAAAGACGCCCTACAGGGACACCAAGCGAGGTTGGGGACAGCCTTGGAGCCCAGCGGCAGAAAAAAACCAGCATCCGACCATGCTCCTACGCCAAATTGGGGAGCACTTTTGTGCGCGCTAGACCGTTGACCCACTCATGATTGGCGCCAGTCCCCTGTCGCGCTAAGCATCTTTTCCTGCTCCCCGGCGCCTTGCTTTCAACCGCCCCTTGTTTACGCGTGCGTGCGTGCAAGCCTCATACCTCACCGCCAGCATTCCTCTCCCCTTACCCCCAGGCTATGGTTCCCCGGTGTGTGCTTCTTTCCAAGGTTTCGGCAACGTCATCAACCTTTTCGCCTCGCCCTTGTCCATACCCCGGATACCGCTCACTACCTTACTCTAGTACAAACTTTTGCCCGAAGGGAGGGGAAAATTTTTTTGTGCGGGCCTACTCTAATTTGTCCTCTGCCGCGTCGAAGTAGCCGACCACTCCAACACATGAAAGAGAAGAAGTTTACGGAAATATGGAGCTTCCAATCGCTATTCCTCTTCTGTTATGCCGGCAACACGGTGACAGGCTCCTGGGTCATCGCATCATGACGACAAGGGCGAAAACAAGTCCGCGTAGTGTCGGTCCCGGTCTGAAGTCGGCAGCCGCCCCGCTCGCTTGATGGCCTTTTCTCTTGCCTGGTCGCTGGCCAGACCAGACGGCACGGAGAGCATGCAGACGCGGGCGGGACAATACCGTTTGCGCCAAACCCATCCGTCCACTCCTGCTCAACGCTCAGTGTGCATGGCTTAACGGCCTCTCTCTCCTACTCGCCTACCCTCATGCTGTATATTGCACAAGAGGGTCCCGGAAATTTCTTTGCAATTATCGAATGTGGCTTACGTCAGGACAGACTTGACCACGTGTCGCTCTCGCACTGCTTCTTTTTGCCTCATATGCAATACGCTGCATACATATACTTACAGCACATGACATATATTTCCCTGATTGATAGAAAAAAAATGCAGAGTAGTTAGTGGGGAAAAAAGCACGCAAACACTCCGAATGCCTGCCCGAGCGTCCATGTCCAGACCTTTCTAGTGGCGCTGATCCGTTGGGTTGACCGGATGCGTTCCTTGGCCTAACGTGGCATAATCCACCGGTATGTTGAGCCCCGATGCCCTGCGCCTCGAATCCACACAACATGGGTACTTTTGCTATCGATAACGCTTGTCTACGCCCACCGCAAATCCTGTCAAAAAAACTCGGGATATCGGTGTGCAAGCAAAACTACATACATGATGTATATATCATGCATGATTACCAGGCCCATCTTCATGCTCATATCCACCCTGTCCGCGGCGGAGCCCTCTCGAGCCCCATTGTTGTGCGTGCGAACAGGAAAAAGATATCCCGTACCTTTCAAACCGTTGACATGAACTATGGAAACAAGCAAACGTTACTAGGCAAAAAAAAAGTACCCAATTCCATTTCTTCGCAGGGGCTTTTTTCTTCTCTCCCACAAAGTAAAACGGCGTAGAAAAGAAAATAGGATAGACTAGTGCTGCGAACGCGCGCCGGGATCCATGTCGGCCCCTCAAGCAACCAGTCTCGAGCTCTATTTTCCCTCTGGTCCAATCGCGACGCGTCCGACTTGCTGACATGTCTTCAACCCTCTGCCAGCGTCGTCATCTCCAATATTGGTAGAGTGGGGTAGCAGTTCGGTCGTGTTCGCTTTGACAATTCCCATCAACAAATCAGATCCAGTATTTGCTCCACAGTCTTCCTTGCTCGTCTGAACCTTCAAACTGCATCCATGTCTTGGTCAGCCTTGCCTTGTCTTCCTCTATAGCTGAATACCCCAGCTGCCCCAATATAGACTAGGAAGCCCATGCCATGTTGAATCGAGTTGAATATCAAACGTACCTGAAAATCAACCTTGATGATGTCTACAAATCCTTCCGCCAGCTTGGGCTCGCGATATCGTGAAGCGAAGCCACTAAAGGCAACGTGGGGTAGGATAGTGCGAGATTCGCGGTTCGTCTATGTGGAAATGAACGTCAGCAGGGATACCTCTCTAGACCAAGTACCACCCTCTCCGACAGCAACAAAAGGTATTCATAGCACTGGTGGACTCTTCATGCGCACACGCATTAGCTTCCTCTTTAGGATAGTTCCTCCACAAGTCTGCGAGTAGTCTGGAAAAGTCGTTCACACCAGCTGCTGCGGAAAGGATTTGCCGCCATGCAACTTACTTCGGGCCCAACATTCAACGCTCGAAATGTGTCGTTGTGCTCGCATAGCTTAGGCGATGCTGTAAACAGCACACATCGTAGAGGTACCTTGAGCTTCTGCGCTAATGCAACCCACACGGCTCGAGTGTTTGGATCGGCATTGGTATTATCTGGTTCCGTTAGTCTTGTAAAACGGGGATCGTCTGGGGTGCCGGATGCATGTACCGATAACCACACTCGTACCCTCTTCGATCAGCCCAGTAGCTGACTTGACGCACTTTTCGCGCTGATCCAACAAAGTTACTCAAAAATGCATACACGTCGCACGGCTCGTGCAGAGCAAAGGGCCAGTCAGCAACGTACAGTTTTAAGAATATCTTGGTTCACTCGTTCGTATCCGAGTGGTTGCAGATGCTTCCAGTAGAACGACGATTTGCCAGCACCGGGACTGCCACAGAATAGGACAATCTCTGGCGATTCCGCTTTCGTGAACGCTACTAAGATCAAGATCAGCAAATTAGACGATCATATTACAAGTGCAACGGTAAATATCAAACTTACTTGCAGATGTTGAGTCTCCACCCCGCCCCTTTACGAAAACGGTTGGATCAAAAGTTCGTATGAACGGCCTTGGCTCTTCGTGGCGGAAGTACTCCTCTGGCGTATGGAACGGTATGCCGACATTAGCTGCGAAGTCTCTGAACGCCCGTCAATCTCCACATTTAGCAACGCTCGGCGTGGGGCTGGGAAGTACGGACCTGTCTGAACACGCGTGGTCCTTCAAAACTCCCCCAGGCACAGCCTCACGACCGCCGGCATCCCCAACAAATACCGATCCGTCCAAGTCGACTGCCCCGGGTTTTTCTAGGTCGTGGTCTTCCAATAGTTCCTCCCACATGCCCGTCCTGGGCTTTCGGTACTGATCCCGGCTAGTCGCCGCGTATATTGAAATTGGGAGATCGAGCTGGCTGAGCACTGCCGTCACCTTTGTTTTGAAGTCGGACAGGCGCTTTTGATCAGACTTGACTGTTTTGGGGTCTGGCTTTAGGCTGATTCCGCCCTGGTTGCTGATGATTGCAATGAGGTAGCCATCGGCATGGAGATCCTTGAGTCTTCCAGGTACGCTACTATCCCACCATTTCCAGTCGCTTGCGTCGCGACTGAACGTCTTTCCCGAAGCGGACTTGATTAGTGTTGAGTCGAGGTCAAAAGCCGCTATTCTGCGCTTGCCTGCTGTGGCTGCCTGCGTCGTTGTAGTGCCTGCTGCACCGAAGCGCCCAACAAGCAAGCTATCCTTGATCACTCGCCACACCATTTTTTCTGGCTCTTTCTTTGATGCTGGTGTAAAGAAATTTGCGATGGCCTTGCCTGATCCATGTTAGTAGATCACGCCAGTATGGGGCAGCGGCAGACGCACTGGTGGTAGTGGACTGCTGTCGGCGCTTCGCTGCAGGCGGCGACACCGTTTTGCTGTTTGAAATCGCCCGCTTGTGTGAGCTGGATTTCGCATCCATGGTACGTCTTGTCTTTCTACCGAGTGCGGTGCATACGTGTCGTGGTGCTTGACTACTGCGAGTTTTGTTGAAGGCCAAATAATCGTGTTAGTCGTTTGCACCCGCCCATCGGACGCGAAACACGAGTTCGCGAAATCACGTGCGGGGAAGGTCACGGGCGTGCAACATCAATCGGCAGTTACATGAGCTGAATCTTGCCCTTGGTGTGATATGAAAAGATTTGGAGTCATCTACAGTGTGAATTATAGTTACAAATAGATTTTTATGTCAATAAGGTTATAGACTAATCATCATAAATTGAGATAGCTGTAACAGCCTCCACATGTGCTAAATCTCTGATCTTGTACAACACCTTGTAGTGTCTTTATCGCGCATCAAATCTATGAAATATGAATCAATACTATTAGTACTGTTAATAACCAAAATCTTTTACAATTGCCACTCATCGGCGTAGACCGTAGCGCATGTTGAAATATCTATATGAATTCCAAAATGTATTGATTCTGTAATTCTACTCATACACGTTATGTGACACATACCTCTGTCATATTCATGTTTCAAGTACCCTCAAACGCCCAAAATCTCGCCGTTATCCTATTGGATGTGATTTTAGACGAACGTAATTCATCAGCGGCTGATGTGTGAGCAAGTCTATCGGCGCAAAGGAATCTAACTCGGTAGGCAGTGGTAGTAGCTCGAAGTCCCAGAGTACAAGCACAAAAAGTGTCTTCATAGTATGCATGGCGAGTTTTCGGCCTTTTGGGGATATTAGCGAGTGTAAAAGTGTCCACAAGGTCGACTGCCATGTCTGGAAGTGCTACTCACCGAAGCATCCTCTCGGACCAACCCCAAAGGCATGATTTGGACCTGCTTGTGGGTCGAACATAGAAGTACCGTCTTCATTCGTGCGAAGCCACCTCTCAGGCATGAATTCGGCTAGGCTATGCGGGTCCCAAGCTTCAGTCCACGGCGACTTCGGTGTTTCTGACTTGTTACCGCTTCTGCGCCTACTGTCTGGGATGTCGAAGGGGGGAGCCGTCTGACTTGGTCCGACATTCTGTGAACATGCATTAGTAGATGTTGTTGAGAATAATAAGGGAATGTCGACTTACCATTAACCATACCTCAATACCTTTCGGGATATGATATCCCAGGACTTCAACATCTTGTGTAGTGATCCGCCCATTCGACAAAGAGGTATGAGACAATCGTGTCATCTCCTCCAAAAATGCATCCAGATAAGGTATCTTGGTATTGTGTATAGCATCGAGTGTTGGCAGCTCACCTTGCGCACAAACATCCTTCAAAGATTCACGCAGGGCATCTCTTAGCTTAGCTTGGACTTCTTGATGTCTAGTCAAAAATTTAAAGCCTGAGAGTAGTCAGTCCAAAAATCTTCCACTCACGACCATGCAAAGGAAGTACCCCATTTTACTGTTGTAGGTCCTGTGTCGAAGCCGGCGAACAGGAACAGGAAGAGCTCGTCCTTCACCATCGGACTATCATATTGTGTCTTCCTACCACTTTTCCTGGACTGTGCAACTTCGCGAGCAATCAAGAATTCGGCCGCCGATTTGACATCGGTCTCAGAGCTTGTAGGTCGGTTGAACTTTTCCCATGCCTCGTCAAGCATCTGCTGTATGAAGCGGTCCTTGCGCTTGACAGCTTGTCGAAGTTTGGGGTAAAATCTTAGTGCAAATGCGAGATGCCACGCACCAAAGGGAGACTTCAGTGCAATCTCCGGGCTACCCAAGACTTTTCCGATGTCTTCATACACAGCAGAACGTTTGGTTGGTGGGAAGACAATGACTTCGTGGTCGTATATGATCTCTTTCATAGGCGGGGAGGATAGTGCTTCCAGTTTGGCGTCTATACCACCACGAGAGACACCAAATGAAACGGCGAAGATGCTGTCATTCATAACCTCCTCCAGGTCTGAGGCTATGTCGAAAGGTCGACCCTCAGCAGCAGCTCCCTTCGCTTTCCACAGCTGTATAAGGGATCTTACATCAGAGTGGTTGTGTGGACCTGCCACATTCCGTAGAAAACCAGGAGACATCGTGTCTGCCATCAGTCGTCTACTTTCTCGCCAATGGCTCGTAGTGCGGTGTCCAGCTCCCGCGTGGGGTACCACGATCCTAAACGGGTGGCCAAAAATCTCGCCTCGATCGAACTCCCGAGTGCGGCGGGTCAGAATGTCCTGTGCTCTGTGCTCGAAGTCAATGAGTGTGCAAAAAATATCTGATTGGGTTGACCTACTCGCGACTATCTGTAATGATTACCCAAGGCTTGCTGAACGGTCGGATGAATATCTGCGTAACCGGGGAATTCAGCTCGACACAGTGGCTAGCGAAAAATGAGACAGTCTGTTTGGTTTTGGCTAGGTATCTGAGCATATCTGGAAGATCTCCAAGTAGTCTGCTCGCGCTGATTATCTTGTATGGAATGCCAGGTAGTGGGGTTGGCATGACAGCTTGATAGACCAAGTAGCCCACTACAATGATCGCTGCCGGCGCCAAAAGCCACCATGGAAGCGAATTTGTGGACATGATGGATCATCTACCTCGTGCGAAGATGATCAAAAGGTTATCCGTTCGCAACGATGTTGCGGATAAGAATGTTGTCGAGATCGAGGCGGTTGGAACGCTCGAATATATGACCAGGACGTACCGTGGTCATGCAGCAAGCATCCCTTGAACAACATACAATTCAGAACTAACAATCATACGATAAACTCTTGGGACGACTACAACTTGAAGGAGTCCGGTTAATGTGTAATCAATGATCAGCTGCAGATCAGCCTTAGCGTGGATCTCACCTGTTACCGTAAGAGGCAATTCGAGGCTGATATGCAGCATAAACATTACTGATCAAAAGTGGCTAAGCTAAATACTGGTTTTCGATTCGCAGAAGAGAAGATTGTGGAACAGAAGTTGATTGGACAATTGGGTGGTAAAGGACTTTCAAGCGAGGGGAAAACCATTGAAGAACGGCCAGTAAATACGTACCACGTAGCCAATTAGCGTGCACGCATTTAACTGTAGTAAAGCAACAATAACAACAACAGCGACCAAGAACAGTTTAGAACTTATTTGATAAACATTGCAGTATCTTGACTAGATACTCCATTCTTTCAAGAGTATCATCACAAGTATGTTGTAGAGAAAGTACGTGTTACGACTAACCGCTTAAGAGCTATCCTTATCGCCCTTGTGTGTTCAATACCATCCACAAGCGCATCCGCGGACCCATTCGCGCTAAGTTAGTCGATATCAGAATGCTCAATACGGTAATGTACCTGATACGGAAAGGTAATGACAGCATTGATATACTAGCGACATTGACTAGAGCAACTTGTTAGATGTATATACGGTATACGCATCTGCTCCATTGAGCCCTGTTCAGCTTGTAAATCTTTTTTTAAACGATTCAAAGACCTTCAATCATGGCACATAATTCTCATATCAGCGCTCGAGATGTCATTGCTGAGATCAAAGGCCAATCGCTTGTGCTGCCTGACTTGTGGCAGTACATGCCTGAAGAACACTGGCCAGTGGATCTGAACCCAGATATCCAACGCCTCCGCAAGCATATTAGAGAACGATTCCAGTGGTATGTTTTGACCAAAGACAGCCGTAGCAACTGATACTGACCGCGTGTTAGGATGATTGAGCGCATCCCAAGTAAGCGGCGAGGACTTCGTAAAGTCGAAGCGCAAGATCTGGGTCGCTTCGGCGCAGGATGGTGGCCGTATGCAGATTTTGAGCGCATGGAGACATGTACTGATCTATGCGCATGGGTAAGAACCCTATCGTATTACTTTTATAACATCAACTGACAGTCTACAGCTATTTATCTGGGATGATGGTGAGTTACATTTCGAATCCCCACATTTAGACAAACATGAACTAATGGAAAGCAGAGATTGATGAAGCAGAAGGAGAGTTCAACTCTGATTACGAGCACGCCCAGAAATGTCGCGACGACATCATACATTTCGTACGTGAGTTGTTAGACCTGCCACCATACAGGAAGGTCAACACGTCCTTTCGACCGATTTTAGAGACATCTCGGGATGTTTGGCAAAGACTCCGTAAGGACATGACGCTGCGTAAGCAAACTCCTCGAAATACCGAGCAGAATATTAACTGAATTATGACAATGTACAGACGAACGACACAACCTTGCCAAGGAGATTCGTATTTATTTGGAAATGGTCGGATATGAGCAAGGTCTGCGTGTCGATCAGTCTTTACCGACTCTCGAAGAGTATTGGCGTTTGAGGATGGCTACCAGCGCTGTAAAGATTACCACAGCGGCACTACTGTTAGTCTAAGATTGGAGACTTTCTACTGTCAAAGCAACGGTCGCTAATTGTTGGCAGTTACGCATGCAAGGTACAACTGCCCGCAGATGTACAGGATTCGAAGCTACTGGATGATGTATATGAGGCTGGCAATGGTGTGACCTCAATGTCAGTCCTTGGATTGTTATGATGGTAATGTGGATCGAGTGCTGATGAAACGCTAGTATGAACGATCTGCTCTCTGTGCAGAAAGAGTTGGTAAGGCCCATACATACAATCGGTATACTCGTCTACACAGTACTGACAACTGTTTCAGGCTGCGGGTGCATCGTCCTCAAACATCTTGTTCGTGCTTTACGCCGAGACTGGTAGTCTCCAAGGAGCACTGGATCGAGCACTGGATCTGCTTGCGCAATGCTCGGCGGAATATGAGGTCTGCACTGCAAGGCTCTATCGTGCCTATCAAGATCGTCCTGATATCGTGGAGGCTTTAGAGAAGCTAGTAACAGGATGCAGATATATGTGTACCGGTAACCTGGCCTGGAGGTATGTGAATTTATGATCTACTTGGACTGACTGGCTCTAATCATGTCATAGCCTTGCCACCACACGATATGGAGTCGTTGCTGAGCATGATGGGACCGTTAAAATATCTTTGTAAACGACTTTGCTGAAATCTATAATTACTGTAGGCTACTGTAACGTAATTGCAATAGCAAATAGATGTTATGGTAGGCAGAGTAATAGGTGTGTAGTTGGTCGGCTACGGAAGGTTGGTGAACTTGGGCTCTTTTGGGACGTCGCTATAGAAGAGGATATAAACATGAGGGTAACATTGAAGTAAAATCGTCGCTAGAAGTAACAGTATTAAAGCTATATGTATTTTGATCCTTAAACATTATGCTATATCGATCCAGAAATTGTTCCGGCACGCTCCTCGGTGATGTGTGCTGAATCTGCGCGCGGCAGACACTCCACACTTTGTGCTCTCCGCTGCCTCCAGATATCTCTGTTTTCCTTTAACTTCTTTGCCTCTGGGTGTTCAGTTGTCGATATCTTTGCCAACGCAGCCAAAGCCTCCTCAGTCACCCTCTCGCATTCTTCAACTTTTCCCAGCGCGTTGTATGCTGTTGATAGCTCAATCAGGCCGCCAATTCTATCAGGATGAAACTCGCCTCTTCCTTGTAACGTGTAGCGCTGTCTCTCTGTGACATCAAGTAGGTAGGTTACCGCCTCCTCCCATCTTTCCTGAAGCACCCACACTCGGCCCAGGTGATAACGGCCCCAGAGATAGGCGATGTGGCCTTCGCCTAAATTGCGTGCAGCGATAGGTAAGCCATACAGGAGGAGTACTTCTGCCTCGTGTAGCATGCCCATCGCGCATTTTACGAGAGCGAGGTTTACCATCGCAAGTAGTGTGTAAGCATGCTCCTTGCCCAGTTTTTCTTTTCGGATCTCTAGAATTTTTATCATCATTGCATGCGCTTCATCCAAATGGCTTTTCTCCCCCGTCCGAATGGCAGAACTGCAAAGGTGCTCCCGCGCTTCAAGTGTACGTGTATGTTCATCTCCATGCAACTTCTCCATGCCTTCTGATGCGGTGACAAACAGTTGACGGGCACGAGTCACATGTTCTTTGGTGTAGAACATGAGTAAAGTCTGGCCAAGCCAGTCAATTGCATCGAGAGTATCTTCGTGGTCCAGACCGATCAGCCTAGTGAGCCCCTCGACCGCCTCTTCTTGGAGAATTTTGGCCTGGCTAAATTTGCCTTGTAAGAAGAGCGCCTTTCCAAGAGTGAATTTCGCTACCAGTGTCTCCTGGTGATCGACGCCCAAGAAAAGCACACAAGCGTCCAAGACTTCTTTTTCCAGCTTAGCTGAATCCTCACTTTGGCCAAGGTTAAACAAGGTCATGGCCAGTAGCCTGGTGGCGCGACGAGTAACAGGGTGCTTCATGCCTAGGATTTGGCTCGTGAAATCTTTCACTGCAGTTTGGAGTCGTTTGGCCTCCTCCCACCGTCCATTCTGCATGTAAACCAGACTGAACTTAGCATATGTTATAGCTTTTCCCCTATCAAAGCCGCCATCGAATACCGGCCATGGTTTCATCCGTGCCATGCGCTTGTCCCTCATGCGTTGCTCTATAGATTGCTGACATTGGCGTACGTGATCGACATGGGGGAGGATATGTTTTCGGACTTCTTCCTCCTCTTCCGTATTGCCAAGCGGTGGGATCAGAATGCAGTGTGATAGTAGCATTGCAGCTGCTTCGGCCCAAACTCCTTGCGCTGCAATACTCATGCCAGGCCGCTCACGCGCCCATTTGTGTACAAGGGGGTGCATAGAGTAGCTTTCGGAGTTGTGACCTTTTATTATGAGTGAGAATTGAACCAACTGCCGTAAAGCTACACGTAGTCTATCTTCATTCATCGCCTTCTCATCACGACCATCTCGGATGACCTGTAACGGTTTAGCAAATGTCTTCAAAGAAGCAAACGACAGTGTGACCTACACTGGGTAGAACAGGTGGGCTTCGATTCTGATAGAGGTAGGTAAGGACTAGGAACGCGGTTTCTTTGCACCATGTCGACCAGTCGGGTGCGGGCTTGGCTGCCTTGGATCGACGTTCATTCATTCTATCCTCGACTTCCTTCCTATGTTCAACCTTGGCATTCTCGATAGATCGTTGCAAAAAGTCATATCTAATGTCTTGGTTGTGAAGAAATGCAAATGTGTCAAGCAACTGAAGGGCGTCTCGAGATGCTCGTGTCGCTCGGTCCTCGATAGCTTCTCGGTTCAACTCGAAAGTTGAGAAGACGCTCAACTCGTCGGCCGCATCCTTGTCTCTCACTGGAAGTCTGGTTTGTCTCGTCGCTTCCCATTGGCGCTCATAGTATTGTAGATACTCGCTCAACTTACAATACTCCTCGCGGATGGCTCTACCCGCATGCGTGATGGCCAATGCAAGATAGCCAAGGGCTTTCGCGATCTTTAAAGCAATGCTGGACACGACCGTGTCCCATGGTTCCGACTGACCGGCTGCTTTCAGCAGTAGACTACTTGCATCGCTGGTACTCAGTCCTTGGAATTCAAAAAATCGATCACCAGCAGTACCATACATCTTCTTCCCAGGGTCGCGGGTTGTGACGAGAACGTGACCTCGATTGCCCCGTGGAAAATAGTCCGCAAGCTTGAGGTCAGGGTCATCAGCATTGTCGATGATAAGAAGCCAAGGAGAACTTAGGTTTGATAGCCAATGTAGTGCAGCATTTTCGTTGAGATCGACTTTTCCAATCTTTGACACATTCTGAGAGAAGGTCTGTTTCAACCGCGACCGGCTGCTACCATCTACCCAAAAGACCCCCCAGAAGCTAGAAGTGATCCATCAGTAGCGTTGCATAAATTTGGAGCCATGTTATACTAACTATTGGCGATTGTCTTCAGCAAACTTGGAGCAGAACTGCGTCTTCCCCGCGCCTCCAAGCCCATACACAATGAAACGTTTTTGTTCTGCCTTGACAGCCGATGTACCGCGTTGCTTCCGAGGATGACTCGGTAACATCCAGCTGCGCAAGCGTTTTGCGTAGTCTTCACGACCAGTATAAAATGGGTCGACAGGCTTCGGAATATCAAAATGTTCGTTGGTCACCGAGGCGTCGGAGGCTGAATTGTGCGCAATATTATCGATTGCAATACCGAGCTGGTTCACGACTGACACGGATTCCATGTTGAAATCGCGATAGGCCGTTGTAGTAGTCACGGTTTCATATAAGGGTAACGATGTGTGCTGCGCTTGTTCCATTCGACTCTTCAGTTCTTGGAAATCAGCTACCAGTTTGTCGAGCTGGGCATTCTGATCCTTGTGACTTTCACGAGTGGACTGCCTGCCTATCGGTCAATAGAAGCAGTTGGGATGACTGATTCACTTACATGGAAATGAACCCAAGCAACATTTGCAAGGCTCCCTGATATGTGTTGATTTGGTCTCGAAGTCCAGAGATCATGCTGTCTTTGCTTCTCTTTTTACGCGCTTTGTCCCAACCATCCAACCTTCCAGTGACTAGCTTATGATTGCCGTAGATAGATTGTACCGATTCTTCAAGCTTCTTTGTAAGCTTCTGCCCGTTCTTGAGAGTTTGTCCTGTGCTTGTCCAAAGGCTCCTCTCTTCGTCTCCCATTTCGGCATTCGTCATATTCTTGAGATATTCCTTCTCAAGGTGACCATGAACCTTTTGAAGTCCTTCGACCTCGTTGATCAATCCTTCAATGTCTTCATCCATAGTCTTGGCGGCTGCTTTGATGTCTTTGAGATAGTCGATGAGCCGAAATGCGACATCACCGATTCCCACACCCGCAGCCACCAGTGAAATCGGATCAGCCATATTTCACGCTATCTCGAGCCGGTTTCCAGGCGACAAAGCTTTGCGAGGCTGCTCGTGGGAAGGCTGTGCAGAGTTTTGACATAGAGTACGTAATACAATGTGGTTAGAAAGCAGATCGAGAATGTTTGCACTGCATAGACAAGCACTGTGAAATGAAGCAGAACAATCTTTTCTAAGGTAATCGAACGGCCGCCGTAGGAGTGGTATTGCGCTGGCCAAGAGAGCAAAAGGCGGCTGCCTTTGCAGGTATGCATGCGAGCGAATGCCTCCATGGCCTTGGATCGCTATGCATTCAGCCGGTAGCCGTCATGGGGGGGGGGGGGG